CGGTGGCGGTGGCGGCATGGTGGTGGTGGTGACGGCAGTGGTTGCGACGATGGTGGCAGTGATTGGTAGCGGTGGCATGGTGGTAGTGGTGACGGCAATGGCTACGACAGTGGTGTTGTTGACGGAAGCGGTGGTGGTAAAGACATGGTGGTGCTGGAGACAGCAGTGGTTGCGACGATGGTGGTAGTGACGGCAGTAGCTGCGATGATGGTGGTGGTGACGACAGTGGCTACGACGATGGTGGTGGTGGTGGTCGTGGCAGCGGTGGTGGCGGCGACGATAATGGCATGGTGTGGTTGTGACGACAGTGGTTGTGGTGGTGGTTGTGACGACAGTGGCTGTGGTGGTGGAGACAGTAGTGGCTGTGACGATGATGGTGGTAGTTGGTGGTGGCGGCGACGGTGGTAACGGTAGTGGCTGCGACGATGGTGGTTGTTGTGGTGGCCTTGGCAGTGGCGACATGGTGATGGTGGTGACGGCAGTGGCTGCAGCAATAGTGGTGGTGGTAACGGTCGTGGTGGCTTGGTGGTGGTGGTGATGTGGCGATGGATGGAGGTGGTTGTGGAATCAGCACTGGTGGTACGATGACAACGACGACAATGGTAGTGGTAGTCGTGTTGGGATGATGGTGGTGGTGATGATAATGGTAGTGATGGAGAGTAATTGAGAGAGACAATTGTTTCTTATTTTGTGTCAGGAAACAAAAAAGCAGAAATTTTTTATTCTTTTTTCTGTTCCCCAGCACAAAAATTAAATCGGTTCATCTCGGGAACAAAAAAATAAACCGGTTTTACCAAACGAGTTTCCTATCCATTTTTGTTCCCGGGAACAGAAATTTAAAAAGAACTGATTCCGGGAAGGTTGTCATGCACACCCTTAATGTCTAAAGATGAATTTTCAATTTAGGTTATCCTTAACCTTTGAAGGGTTCAATTAATAAAATATCATAAGCCTCTAATTTTCCAATTACAAAATCATGAAAAAGAATGTTCAAGATCCATTTCCATGGTTTCTTGAAGCTAAAAATCTTGTTAATCGAATTGTAAAAATCACGCACACACTATTCAAAAATAAAGGTACCTATCAATCTTTTAGATTTCCGGTAAAGATAATCATATATTCATTTTAACAGTAAACAAAAGAAAAATTATAGAAATTGCATTAACATTGCATCAAACTAAATTCAAGTGTAAAAAGGTTAAGAAGAATAGACCAGGAACTTGAATACAAATGTTGAGAACTATAAAAGCTTAAAAGAAATACATATTAGAACTTGAAACTTTGAAGATTCTTGGGCTTTTCCAATCTCACGTGTTCCTTGCAAAGAACGCAGAAAACTAAACTCAAGAAGTGAAAACAAACTTGCTAAAGACTGAAAACTAAAAATCTATATGAAGTGTTTTTTTTTTTTTGTTAGTCAAAATTGAAAATCCTAATTAAAGCTAACTAAAACTCCCAAAAACTTCAAGCATTGTTGTCCTTTAGATTAATCAGCATCCTACGATTTAGATCTCTTTCAACTTAGCCAATTGTTCACGTGTTCTTAATTCGTGCAATAGAGTGGTAATAACAGTAAGTTAATTTATCTAAATCTCCTGTCCTTTTTTTTACTTTTACCTTCATGGGATGATTTCCCCTACCTTTTGGGTCTTTCACCTGTTTTATTAGTCCATTCACAGTCCAATAGGAAGTAAAATATAGGTGTTTAAACAATCCAATTTTACATCTAACATTACACAATTGTGTTTCTTATTAATCTTAGCATTCAAGAAATGAAGAAAACTCAAACTGAACAGACAAAATAACACTGAAAAGTAGATATCAGAGAAATATGTGTGCAATATAGAAACTGTTAGAATATTTACCAGAAAAAAGGAAAAGTAAAAGTGAATATTTGTTTCATTTCTGAGTCATACACTGCACAGAAGATGCACAGGAGGTTTTACATCTATATATCCTATCAATTGCCAAAGTTTGTTATAACAAACTATGGCTTGTAGAAATATCCTCTATGACCTATTGGGCACAACGAGCCTTTAAAGGAATGACGCGGTTGAATAGGGTACAGAGAAATGTTTTGCAACACTGCCCCTCTTCACTAGACTCACGAAAATTTATTTATATATGCATATTTAGTAGAGATAGTTTTGGGGGCAGTGCCCTAAAAAAAATTAAAATAAAGTTTTAAATGCATTAAAAAATAAGTGAATATAAGCAAAAAGGGATTTATATCCCTCATATTACATGAACCAAATTTTTGTCATATTAAGAAGAAAAGAACAATTCATTGAATAATGTGTCATCTCAATTTCTTTAATATTATATAACTTGTCTTTTTCTTAACATGACAAAAAATTTCGTTCATATAATATGAGGTGTATAATCCTCAAACAACAAAAGAAAAGAAAACTTCGACTTAACATAAAAAAAGAGTAATCAATTTAATGATATAAAACCACTAAAACATAAGCAGTAAATAAGATGTGTTTGTTTCTTAGTATCTGCTTTGTATTCCTGACAATGCAATTACTAAAATTGTTCCCTAAGTGACATTCCTAATTAATTAAAAAATATATTTCTTCTTTACTAAAAAAAGATGTATGACCAAATTTATGTGTGGCAACCAAATAGGTCCGCCAATGGCCCTCTTCAAGCATGATAATCTTCTCCTCTGTGCTCCAACTAGGGCTGGAAAAACTAATGTTGCAGTCCTTCTGCTGAAGTCTTCAAAATAGTAACATTCTTGAAGAAAAATCGAAAATCGTCTTCAGAGATCAGGTCTTATTGAAATCTATTTTTAAAAAATGGATTTTTGATTTTCAAGAAAAAAATTCCATTTGATAAGGTCTGTTTTAGAAAAATAGTTCTAAAATTTATAATTCTTTTTTAATTTTTAGAATCAAATTTAACAGATAAATCTGGGTTGTTTTTGTTTTATGTTTTGACTTTTAACTTTCAAAACAAAAAAACACAGAAAACACTTGTTTCATTAACTATTCTACAAAACAGTTTTAAGAACCCAAAAAACATAACACAATTATCTAAAGGCAAAATAATTTTGCCTTTAGGAAAAAATATGAAAAGATAAAGCAATGCATAAAATAGTTGTAGGATGGTTATACTAATGCATTAATTTTGACGGTAGAGAGGATGAAGAAAAGGAAATAAATGATAAAAAAATATGAATAATTTATACACTTATATAAACTACGTTAGGTCTTAGAAGATCGTATTGCTATACCGAGTGGTATGCGCTCAAGGATACCTTAGAGATAGGTACCGTAGTTGGCTTATAGCCAGTATCCCAATCACTGCACACAAGCAATAGGCTCTTAGCCAAGACGTGGGTGTGTGCACAGTATTGGCAGTAATAGTCAATAGCAGTGTTTTAAAAACCGGATCGGACCGGCCGGGTCGACCCGGGTCTCAGTGACCTGGTGGGTTCCCCGGTTCGATCTGCTCTTTGGACCGGTCGTGCAGTTAACCCGGTTTGGACCGGTCGACTCGGCCGGTTCTCGGTGACTCGGCGAGTTGAAGGAGACCCGGTTTGGACCGGTTACATGTTTTAAAAATAAAATAAAATGAGTTATATTACAAAAACGAGGTCATTTTTTGTGCTTCAAAAGTTTCAACCTAAAGGCTAAAGGAGACCCACCCGTATATCTCATATTCCTTGATTTCCTTCGCCGTTCGGATAGTTTCTTTCAAGTACCTAAAGGAGACCCACCTTGTATCAGCTGAGATTGACATTGCTCTTCGTCCTTGACTTCTTTGCAGTGCCTCTTCGTTCTCCAAAAGCAGGTAATCAATTTTATTATGTGTGATACGATAATGTGGCTGAATTTTATTATGTGTGTGCCTCTTCGTTCGGCTTAAACTTACTTCCTGCAACTTTCTAACTCTTAATTTCTGTTATGTGGCTGAATTTTATTGATAATGTGGATCTATACATCATCTGCAGAAAACTTAATATTTATGTTTATGAAGACACGACCTCCTCCCATTACAACCTGAATTTTTTGTTCTCATTTCTTCTTAATCTTAATGTGTTCATGTAATTTTATTTTAACTTTTGTTACTGTATCTGTCATTGTATGCATTTTCAATTTTTGTTATTCGTCAAGAGGATGATTTTGGGGTTATTTTTTAGAACTTGGTGATTAGAGTATACGGTGGGAGGGAAGAGAAGGTCAATCTTAGTGTGTATGGCTTTTCTAATGTTAATGGGTATTGCAGTCTATTTCAGGCTTTGGGCTATTGACTACAATATTTCTTCTTATGACACTGAGCTCTTAAGGTCCCCCTTCTTTATAATCTTTCATTTTTCTTCTGTTTCAGTGTCATTAATGAGGAAAAAAATATTGTTTTTTAATAATTAGAGGTTATGTTCATTCTGCTTGTGTTGAACTCTTGTGAGTCTATTTGTTTTTTATTTTGAAAACAATGAAAAGATCCCTTGTTTTGTTCATTTTTTGGTTTATTTTCTGCAAAGCCTTGCTGATTTTAATTTAAAGTTATACCCATTATATGAAGCACAAATAAATATCATAAATTGCATGTACTTGTCATATTTCTCTGATTTTTTATCAAACCAATTGAGGGCTATCATTCAGGGGATAGCTCAGATCTTTCAATTCCCATGTCTGCATAGTGCAAAAAAAATCCCTACAATTCTCATGGTTTCAATTGACACTGCTAAAAGAAGTATTGTTCTTCTGTGACTGCTGGGATGCTTGAATTTGTATTTTACCATTATATTTGCAGCCTTATAGGGTTAGTTTATTCTAGCTTCTATGATGAATGTGTTTGGTTCACTCAACTGTTTGCAGAAGACAGTTTGATATTGCTAACAGGGAGGCAATGGATGAATCTGCTGAGTGGAGGCAATAGATACATAGTTGATGTCTTTATAAAAACTAGTAAATATTTCAAAATATTTATTATTTGTTGATGTCTTTATATACTTGATTTATGTTTCATGCGGATTTATTTTCACAAAGATGTCATATGCTGAACCTGGTTCAACACCATCCCAAGAAGTATCATCTCAAAATTCCTCTAAACCAAATTATAGGGGGAAAACTGATCCAAGCTGGGGGCATTGTAGACAAGTTATTGAAGATGGAAAAGCTGTTATAATATGTCAGCATTGCAATAAAGTTATCAGAGGAGGAGGGATTAATCGGTTGAAGAGTAATTTGGCCGGAGAAAAAGGGCAAGTTGAGCCATGTAAAAAGGTTCCAGCCGAGGTGTGTGATGAAATGAAAAAAAAGTGTTGATGAAAGTAAGAAGAAAAAAAGAAAAGTTCAACTTGAAGAAGAAGAAAGCGGTGATTATTGTGATGATATCAGACATGTTGATAATCAACCACCTTCCAAATCTGAAAAAGGAAAGAATACCATGGGTTCTTATTTTATTCCAAGAACAACTCCTGGAGCTCAACCAACCATAAAAAGCGCTTTACAAAGTAAAGAAGTGATTTGGAAAGCTCGCCGTTCTATTTCAAAGTTGATGATTGTTTCCGCCCTCCCATTTAATGCAGCTAACAATCCTTGCTTTCAGGAAATGTTTGATGCTGTGTGTAACATGGGTGCAGGTTTTAAAGCTCCAACCATGCATATGTTACGTGGTGCTTTACTAGATAGTTGGGTTGATGAGGTCCATAATCTTGTTGAGAGTTATCGCAATGTTTGGCAACACACCGGATGCACTATTATGGCGGATGGTTGGACTGATCGGTGTAGGCGAACTCTTATTAATTTTCTTGTTTATTGTCTTAAAGGAACTATTTTTTTGAAGTCTGTGGATGCTTCTCATGCTTCTAAAACTGCAGATTTATTATTTCAGTTTTTCAAAGAAGTTGTGCTATTTGTTGGGCCTGAAAATGTTGTTCAATTTGTGACTGATAATGCTGCCAATTATGTTGCTGCGGGAAGATTATTAGAGGCTGAGTTTCCCAAGATCTTTTGGTCTCCTTGTGCTGCTCATTGTATTAATTTGATGTTACAAGACATTGGCAAGTTAGAGGAAGAGGGTGAGGCCGTGACACATGCTTCAAAAATTACGAAGTATGTATCTAACCATTGTCATCTGTTGCATTTAATGAGAAAATTTACTGGAGGCAAAGAAATTCTTTGACCAGCTCCAACTCGCTTTGCCACAAATTTCATTGCTTTGCAGAGCATATTGGCTCAAAAAGATGCATTAAGATCAATGGTAACATCAAGAGAGTGGACACTTTCAGCCTATTCTAAGGATGTCAAGGCTAAAAGATTTGTTGAGCAAGTCTTAGATTCTAGATTTTGGAAAGAGTGTGTTGACATTGTGAAAGTTACTGAGCCACTTGTGCGGCTGTTACGTCTTGTTGATAGCGAAGAGAAGCCTTCCATGGGTTATCTTTATCAGGCCTTTTATAAAGCAAGAGAGGAGATGATCAAAAGGTTTCAAAGAAAAAAGAGAAAGGTGGAGCCATACTTGAGAATCCTAGATAGCCGATGGGATTCACAACTTCGTAAAAATTTGCATGCTGCAGGATATTGGTTAAATCCAGGATGTCATTTCAATTCTGAGGAGTTTCAAAAACACGAATTGACAACGTCTGGTCTTTTAGATGTTATTGAGAGGCATGCATATCAGGATGTGGATTTGCTATCCAATTTAACGGCTGAGATGAGAATATTCAGAGAATCTGAGTTTGATTTTGGAAGGCAAGCAGCTATTTGGGAACGAAATAAAGTTATGCCAGGTAAAATAATTCGTGAGCTTTACCTTTAATTCTTATTACAGTTGAACAAAATTAGTATGAATGTTAATTTATTTTATTGCTTACAATATTTCAGATAAATGGTGGGAAACATATGGCTTGGGTGCACCAAACTTGAGAAAATTGGCTATTCGTGTCTTAAGTCAAACTTGTAGTGCCTCTAGTTGCGAGCGAAATTGGAGTGCATTTGAGCATATTCATTCAAATAGGAGAAATCGGTTAGAACATAAAAGGTTGAATGATCTTGTCTATGTTCGGTACAACTTAAAACTCCAACAAAGGTATTAATATTATGCAAAATTGATTGTTTACTTTCTTTTGGACAAATATTTGTATGTATTTGCTCATGTTGAATATTGGAAAAAAATAGGAATCAATTGAAGCACCAAAATTATGACCCAATTAATTTTTAAACAATGGAGGATCATTACAATTGGATTTCTGAGGAGTCACCACCATTATTAACAGATGAGGAGGCAAGATCTTTACGTGAAAACATAAGCAATAATGTCATTCAACCAATTATAGATGATATTGGTTTGTTTCTTTATACAATTTATTAATATAATTCTATTGTTTAATTTTATGATGTGATAATTGCATATTAATTACTAACTTACATAAGATGTGATGTTATTGTAGATCAATTGAATTTAGATGAAGATGACGATGATGATGCACAAGGCATGGCTATTGCAAACCACAATGAAAGCAATGTTGGTCAATGTTTGGATGAGATTGGTGGAGAAGATCTAAGAGAACCAGAATTTATTGATACAACTTTACCACCATGGGCATAGTGTTTTTATTAGATTGTGTATTATTGGCTTATAAGTTTCATCAGATTCTGAAGGACTACAAGGGCCTTTGTGTTTGTTTATGACTTTATGTTATACTCATGCCCAGCTTTTGGTTTTATATTTTCGTGTAGTTCAGACCAGATTTGGGTTTTATGTTTTGCATCTTTTATTTTTGTGTTTGATTTACTGTAGTGTTTGGACATATTGCAACTTTTTACTTGCTTCCTCCCCTTCCCCTTTTTTTTAAAGCCCATTATTGATAAATTTCTTTTAAGAATTTTTAATATAAGTAATAAATTTATATTTTTTTTAATACAAATAAATTTATATTTTTTTAATATGTGAACATTGTATCCGGTTGAACCCGGTTGAACCAGTGACCCAGTGACCCAGTACCTCGACCGAGTCGATGACCGGTCCGAGTTTTAAAACACTGGTAAATAGGTCAAAAAGTGTGTACCTGGGGTCTTTAGCCTCTTATTTATAAGGGTTACCTTTAGGGTGTGTTCAGATCTCCCAGTTGTAGTGAGATTCAACTTTCTTTCTGTTGAGATAGGGGCCTTGTCTTGAGTAGCTTTGTTATTTGATATTGTTGGTATAATTGAGTATCTATCCTTTAAGAGATTCTTAGGTAGGTAGTTAGGATATGATATATATTCATAACAGTTTCCCTCCAGCCTGGTATTCCGAAGCTCAGAATGCCGGGGTGTTTAGGTTTCATCTCGACTTCAGTATTGTTGAGTTCCTGCATTTGGTGTTGCGTATTAGTTGTGTCAAAGACTGGGTCACGGGCCCGATATCTGATATATCGATGAAATATGGTTCTGGTTTGAAGAACTTCTTTCCTCTTTTGCCGAGGTTTTGATTTGTCATTTTTTGTCGTGGTGTGAGCCTTGACTACGATGTCGTGGACGAGGTCAAATCTGGCCCTTATCGCATCAGCTTGACCTTTCGCTTCGTACCTGCAGTGACAGTTACAATCTTCCACGTGTTGTACCCTTATTGGTAGTTCGTGCTTCGTGGAATGGGCGTCGTTCTGAGCTTTTGCAGGTCATGAGTGCATTTATTAAATGCGTGCAATGGTAAATTTACCACTTAGCCCTTGGTTATTTAACTGTTTAAGACCTCTTCATGTTCATGCCTAGGATGCTTTTTCCTTCGTATAAGTATTCATTTTCAAAACGCTTTGTGACTTTCACTTTCCTCTGGATCTTTCTCCTTTGTTTCTGGCGTTATCTTCCCTGAGTATTTCTTCCTTGCTGTTGTTGTTTCTGAAGATCCTCGTAGAGTTCACAGTTGCTTTGCCAGTTCCTTTCTCTGTTATTAATCAGGTACTTCTTCCTTTCCCCTTTTCTTTCTCTGTTTACTTGAATATGAAATCTTAGGGATTTAGAGTATTGCATTCTTCTCTCTACTGGGGAAGAACGACATTTGTGTTTCTTCCTTGAGTCTCCTCTGTTTTCCACATAGGCTTTCTTTTTTCAGGATTCCTGATGACTACTCCCGGTCCGGCTTCTGGCCGAGGTGATGAAGGGGATGAGGAAATAGTGAAGCAATTGCCTCGGGCAGTTCAATATTGGTTCCATGGTAAGGAGTATATCGAGGAGGAGAAGCTTCAACAGCTTCTTCGGGGCCATCGAGGGGGTCGCCGGGGTGGACGTGGCAGAAGCAGACAAAATGGAAGAGGGAAGGGAGGACATCAGTCCCAACTTAATTTTAATAATGCCATTGGTGGGAGCAACCTTTCTTCAATTTCAATTCCTGGTGTCCGTACTGGGCCTGACTCTTCTTTCGATCCGACCCCCTTATCCTATATTCTGCCTTCATCTCAAGTCGTTCTGGGTCCGAGGTCGATCCTGGATCGGATTCCCCTTCTTGGGTTGAGCAATAGCTCTTCTAGCTCTTCTTAATCCGAGCTTGGTTTACCGAGGTCCAAGACCCTTTTTCCACCATTTTGTAATACCTCATCAAGTGAGTTCCCAATTATCGATCTCGATAGCAGTTCCAATAGTTCCATTCCTTTTTCTTGGAGTCCCAAGTCATCAACGTCCAACCTTGATAATATGGGGTTGGATTTAACTGATTTTAATATTTACCCTACTCCTTCGTGTTCCAAGTCTTTGGTTATGGATGAATCTGACGTCCGAAATTCGGTTCTTCTGGAGATTCTCAACATGCACTCCATCATGTCACCTGCCGAGGTGACCCAACTTCCTGTTGGACACCCTTCCGGGACTGATATTCTCCCAGCCAATGATAATCCAGTATGTCGGGGTCCTGATGGGGATGAACCCCATTTCTTCTATTTTTACAGAGACCTGATTACCAAGGTGGGACTTCGGTTCCCCCTTTCCAATGTTCAAATCTTCGTGCTTCGTAGGCTCCGGGTTGCTCCTATGCAACTCCATCCCAATTCTTGGGCTTTTGTCCGAGACTTCGAACAAGTTTGTGAATACCTTTTTCTCCCTTGTATAGTCGATCTGTTCCTGTATATACAGCTCGGTCGGGGGCCGAGGTAAAAGAAAGAAAGGGTTGGGTCACCCTTCGAGGTGCTCCAGGTCGAGGTATCTTTATTCCTTTTACCCAATCTTTCAAGGGCTTCAAGGATTCCTACTTTAAAGTGGCATCTCGTTGTGATTTTCTCCCCTGGTTCGCCTAGGAAAGGATGGATGAAGGGGGTTTCGCATGTCAGTTTGAAATTTACTGGACGCAAAATCACTATCAACGGCGTCCTAGGGATTATACTACCCCAGGCTCTTTCCAAGACGGAAAGGCTGGCAGCTTCCATGTTGGTTGGATATGCCAAGGAATTTTGCATTATCGACCTTAGTCGGATTGTAGATAAGTTTGGAAATGATCTCCTCTGTGAACTCGGTATGTAGTTTCCCTTATATGTTTACTTTAATTCATTTTATAACTTGCATTCTGATTCTTGGCTCTCCTGCAGTTAGCATGACAAGCTCAGCATACAAGAAGTTTTTGCCGAAACCCAAGAAGACTTCCTCTAAGGGGAAAGCAACTGATGAACCCTCCCTTGACGTCAAAGAGACGTTTCGACATTATGACCGAAGGCAGCTTGTCTGTTGTGGGCTATATTGCGCTCTCTTCCGAGGTCTCTGCGCCTCAGCTCACTCCTTCCGTATCACCACCTCCACCCCCTACCCATGCTCCTCAAGGGGACATTGTAGTTTTGGAACCTGGCGAGCTGTGGAGGGCGGGGGATTAGGGTCGCCCTGAAGCCTCCTCAGCAACTCATGGGAGGTTCGCCTTTGACTCCTGACATCAGATCTGTGCTGGCCTGGATGGAAGAGGAGGCGTTGAAGACAGCTTCCTTAATCCAATCTTCCCAGGATCTTTATCAGAGACTCGATTTGTCTTCAGCCTCCAATCCTTCACTCACCGTTAAGGTGGATGAGCTTTGGGGGAAGCAGGAGGAGTTGTGCAAATCGAAATCCGAATTAGAAGTGCAGGTTGAGGATCTTTCTTCCGAGTTGGCCGAGATTAAGAAGGCTTTGGAGTCGACCACTACTAAGGTGGACGGTTTGAGTGCTGAGAAGGAGGCCTTCTTGAAATCTATGGCTGATAAAGATACTCGAATTCAGAAATTGCAGGCTGACTACAAGGAAGCTCAGGCTGTTATTATAAACGTCGTTGTTGAATCCTTTACGAATGCCATCGAACAAGCTCAGGTCCTGAACCCCAGTCTTGTTACGGAAGGGATAGACGTTTCCTATGGTGTGAAGGATGGCTCAATCGTTCCCGGCACTCCGGGTTCCGAATCTCCTCAGGAGGAGGAAGTCGAGGCCGAGGTTAATGAAGTCGCTTTTTCGCGTGATGCAGAATAAAGGGGTCGGTATGCCGGCCTTAATATTGTATCTTCTATTTTGGGGTCTTTGGTCCCCTTTTTGAGTTTGCATAAACATATTTGCCGCTATATGTCGGATTTTTGACTTGCAAATTTATTTTGTCATTTATATTTCTGAGATCGTTGCTTTGATTTACTTCCTGTTTTAATCGCATCGTGGGGTTCAATTCTGATCTCATTTTATCGCACTCTGACTTATGATTGTCAAGTTACGAGATTATTTTGGTCAATTTGGAATAAATTTTGTTCATCAACAAAAGGTATTCCTTTTTTATATCGTTAAGCTCGTAGGCTCGTATTATTTGGATAGAAATCGATATGCATCAAAACTCAAGGTCAAAGATCGTATTATTTGCATTTAATTGAAATCTATTTACATGACTGAGTTTAGAAACTCGTCTTATTTGCATAGAAATGAATCTATCTACTGACTGAGCTTAGAAGCTCGTCTTATTTGCATAGAAATAAAATTTATTCACAATTTCTTGGAGGTCAGATTTTGGGCCTAGTTGTAATAAGCCTTAAGCTTATCTGCGTTCCAAGTTCTTTTAATCGGCTTCTTAGAGATGGTCTCTAATGTATAGGCTCATCTTCCCAGGTTTTCCTTAACTCTGTAAGGGCCT